ACACCCCCTAGCCCCGACCCCTACCCTCACGCCTTCCCAGTGCCTCTGCAGTTCATGTGTCCAGTGACAGGGGAGACCTGGGGGGAGGTGACAGGCAGGAGAGCCAGCCTGGGTCTCTATAAGGCACTCAGAGGGAAGGAAGCAGGCCTGTCTGGGAGAGCCCTGCACGGTGGAAGTGGCTAGAACTGGAAGGACTCGAGCAGGACATTGCAGGAGTGGGAGCGAGAGCGAGCCCTGGGGACACAGGATCCCTGTCCAGGGAGCAGGAACAGCCCGGAGGATGCAGGAGCATTGACGGGGAGTGGGAACGGGCCCTGAGGATGGACGCAGGAGCACCATCCAGGGAGTAAAAGCCCTGAAAAGCCTCCCGACCCCAAGGTGGCGACCACTGGAGGGCCCCTGGAAGCTCCCTGCTGGCTGCGCAGCCAAGACCTGGAGCACCTTCACTCCCCTGTCCCCAGACAGCAGTAGCACTTACACCCGTGCTGGGGGAGCTGCCCGCAGGCTCCGCCTCCCTCTCACTGTCCAGCTTCCAGCATGAGCCCTCACCCCCCGCGCGGCCACTTCACCCAGCTCCCGCTGCCGACCAAGCTGGAAGTGACCCCTGACCACGTCGCCTTCCCGGCCCTGGAAGCAGCATTCTCACTGGGGCTTATTTCCGTTCATCCGTGTGTCTGTTGTCTCCCTCTCTGGTGTGGGGTGTGCTAGATGGCTATTGGATTGAGAAAGAGCAGGGCCACAGGGGACACGAGCTTTCACAGCCTCGTCATCTTCCGAAACTTGGTCCCAGAAAGGAATGCCCTCTGGTGACCACAGAACCAGTTTGTGGTATTTTAAGGAACCACCAGGGGGTGCTGTTGCCACACTTTTTACTCCGAGTGGTTCTGTTTATTCCAAGGTCCACCGGGCTTCTGATGCCACTGAATAGGGGACCCCATGTGATTCCTCCTCCTCTCTTTTCACCCCACTTTCCCATGAGCATTAAAGGTGGCGACTTGGTAACAGACACTGGGAGCCAGGTGGCGACAGCGATAAGCTTCGTTTTTGGAACCAGCTCTGCAGAAGTGAAGGTAACAGGAACGGTTGGACCCAGATCTGAAAACCTCCAGTGGGCCTGCTTTCCTGGCTACAGATGGTCACATGCTTTTCCTTCTCGTGTTGCTTACAGCTGCTCTAGAAAATGGCACCCAGACTCCTGCGGGTCCCTGTGCTCAGTCCAGGCAGGCCCGGAGCCCTGCAGTTTCAAACTTGGCTGCATGCATGGGACCTGCCCCCACAGGGTTTCCAGAACACAGGATCCGGTGTGCTCCTCCTCAGTGTGGCTGTCTCCTGGTGGGCGAAACACCTGGGCTGAGCTTCCTGGCGATGCCATTTCTCCAGGGGAGGGGCCGTTGTTCCTGGAGCAGACCTGGCTCCCGGCTCCCTCCCCCACAAGCAGGCACTAGCGGAGCAGGGACCCCAGTGTTTCTCCCAAGGTTTTTGCAATGTAAGGTCCATCTACCATCTACGTTGTAATGGCCCCGAGAAAGCAGTAATGAAACAACAAGGACCATGAGTGAGGCCATCTGACCTCTAAAACTCACTCAGAGGAAAGACAAGCTTTTCCTTTCATCTGTAAGCTGTTTTGTAGCTGTGAGCTCAAAGACTCCAGGCGGAATGGCTCCAGACCCCGGAGCAGAAATTTGATTATCGAAGGCCTCGCCAGTCAAGAATGCCCAGGAGGTGATCACGCCCTCTCCAACCTATCACTGAACTGATCATGCGCCTGGGACCTCTGCCCCTAGTTTTGCCCTTAAAATCGCAGGTGGGGAACGTCTCCAGGAGACCGGGTCTTTTCAGCATGAGCTGCCCGCTCTCCTTGCTTTGCGCTTTGCAATAAAGCTGCACTTCTCTTCATCACACCGTGTGCCCGTGGTCTGGTTTTATAGTGCTTGGGCACACCTCATCTGAGTCCCCATCCCAGGGTGGCATCTCCCCCCCTTGGTTCATTTCACAGATGTCATTGTTAGTCAGTCTCCCCTTCCCAGCTCCCCCCCAGGGTCACATGGCCCCTAGGTTTGGAAAACAATGGGACTTGCAAATGGGACCTAAGCACTTCAGAGCTCTGAGAGGGGTGGGCTGGCTTACAGGACCTTGAGGAGCACTGCACTGCAGGTTTCCATCTAATCCAAATGGCCAGGGGAGGCTTCAGGAATTTTGTGTTAGGGGACCCAACTTACCCTCTTTTTCTTTCATTTGCATTATGCACTCCCTGGAGAGAGAGAGAACGCCTCTTCAGGGGGCTTGGCCACTGCAGTCCCTTCTGCACTTTCCTTTAGGGATTTTGGGCGCAATGCCCGAGGTGTCTTTCAAGCGGCTGGATCTGGGACTCAGACTGTGCAGTCGGCCATGTGGGATCCAGGTCCCACAAGCACCATGTGACCACCTGGGCCCGGCTTCTTTAGTAATAACCATGTGACTGGGGCCAGCAGGTGGTATAGTGGTTTAGGTGCTGGACTCCCACATGGCCGAGCACAGCTGAGTCCCAGATCCTGCAGCTTGAAACTCACAGCAGGCATTGTGTGCCTGAGTGCTCAAACTCCTGAGAGGAGAACGCAGAAGGGGTTGTGGCAGGGCCATCCCTTGGGGGCGACTTCTCACCTTCTGTCTCTCTGGTCAGCACCATGCCCTAAAGCAATAACCTCAACAATGAAAATAAAATAACCATGTGACTCCCTTGCATCTCCTGCCCCACCTCTGACCCTCAGAGCGGCTTTATTAGGTCGCTATCGCCAAGCCTCCACTGAGCATCTAAGATGGGACAACTACTGCAACAACCCCTCAGAACTGATGAGGGGCAAGTGAGGCGTCTAACAGAAAATGCCCTGAAAGAGGGAAATGTTAGCAGAGCGGGGAAAGTCTCTTACCCAGGAGGATGAGAGACGGAGCACAACGCTGCAGGACCGAGGCCTCGGGCTGGGATACAAACGTGTAGGTATTGTTATAACACCTGCAACGTAGTTTCCTGCAGTGCAAGTAACTCGTTTTGAAAGTCTTCCTAGGGCAGAGTCAGAGAAGGCGGCAGGAAATGAAAAAGGGTCCCTTGAGGTAAGGCGGGACTCACCTGGCTGCTACTGGCTTCAACAGCGGAGGAAGGAAGGCATGAGCCAGGCATGCGGGCACCCTCTTGAAGCCAGAAAGGGCACGGACTCTGCCCTAGACCCTCCAAGAAGGAGCACAGCCCTGCTGACACTTGACTGTAGCACACTGAGACTCCGGTCAATCTTCTGAACCTTAGAACTGCAAGACAGTTTATTTCTGTTTTGTCAAACCACGGAGCATGTTACTGCGCACTTTGGGGAAGGGACAGCGAGGGTTATTCTGAGTCAAGACCCCAGTGCTGTCACCCGGGTACGGGAAACACGGTAGCACCCAGAGCCCTGTGCTAGTGTCACTAGCCTCTTCTGTGAGCTGCCACCCATTTGGGAGGTGTCTATTTTTCTCTTTTTTGGGGTAATTTCAAGGAGTCCTTTACATGAGAATAAGTAAAGAAAGAAAGGAAACGTCGTACACTTCTTACGGGGCAAGCATCTTCTCCCAATCTGTGGTTAATCACGTTTCTCTCTTAATGACTGCTTTTCAGAGACCAAGTCTTCATCTTAGTGTAGCTAGGTCTTCCCTTCATGATTTGTCTATTTCGAACTTCCACGTGGATCATCTCCTTCTGCTTCGTAACGTCTCCTAGCAGTTGGTACACACCTCTGTTAACCCTCTCACCTTTCGTTGGTTCTAGAATGTTGGTACTCCACATGCATTCCAGAAGGTCACTTAGACTGGCCAAAGGCTGGCTGCTCTTCTCTCTCCATTGTCATCAGCCATCGTCTCTCCTGAGAAGTCACGTAAACACCCTCGACTGCTGCTCCTTTCAAGTTACTTCTTTTTGCCACCTCCAGTGCATTTCTAGACTTCGTCTTTGTCTCTCTTCAGCATTTTTACCATTACGTGCTCAGGTGCAGAAACGATGTGCAGACACATATGATATATATATTTATATGTACATGTATGTATGTGTATATGTATTTAAGTTTGGCTTAAAGTTAGACTTTCTTAAATGTGTGACTTAATATTCCACAGCACTTTTCTGCAGTTCTCTCATTCTCTCTAAATACTGTGTATGCTTCATTTTAATTTTCCTCTCTTGCCATCCCTCTCTGTTTCTGTCTCCCCTTTTTTCTTTATTTCCTCCATCAGGGGAAGGAGAGAATGAGCAAGAACCCTCATTAGGGTCCCGATGCCATAACCCACTCCCAGCTTTGTGGGCACACGTGCCCGAATATTCAAGAAGACTCCAGACGTGAACCCAGGACATTTCCATGCGAGTGTCACATTTTACTTCCGCACTACTATTGGCCCTTCCTCTCTGTCTCTGATTTTTTTTTTTTTTTTTTTTTTTTTGGAGAGGTTTTCACTATAGGGCACATGCGCTCGCCAGACAGACAGAGAGAGACAGAGAGACAGAAAGTGAGAAATCACCCCCAGGGGGGATGGTCACGCCGCAATCCCTTCTCCTCCATTCTCCTCTAGGGATCTTGGGCACACACGCACACGCGCCCAGCGTGAGTTTTAAGCCACCGGGTCTGGGACGCGAACCGCGGTCGACTACGTGGTCCAGCGACATAGCCATTACGCTAACTGCTGGTTCCTTCTGTCTCTGATTCTTGATAAGAAGAATCACTTTCAGCTAATTAAATTGAACAGAACTGAATTGTGCAAACAATGATTCATGAGTTGGGTAGCCCTCAGAGCCTGAAGGGGTTCGGAGAGCTGCCCTGCCGTGTGGGCAGGGGTCTGTAGAGACAGAGCACGTCAAGTGCGGGTTACAGCTCAGAGTTTGCCTGACTCGGCCTTGATCCTACCAGTCACAGCCTGTGATTGGCTGACACCTAGCTCCGTGTTACAAGATGCCCCTCCAAGTGAGGCTGCGAGTCTGTTCACACTGCCTCAAACTGCACTCCAGGTGTGGAGGCAGCTCAGGCCAAATGGAGTTCAACCCACTCCTGTATTTCCCATTATTTCGTCTTTCTGTGCTTCATTCTATTATTTTTTCTTTACCAGTCTTTAAGTTTCATATTTATCTTTTTAGATTTATCTATTTAAATTTTATTTTCTTTCTTTTATGAGAGAGACAGGGCCCCCTGCGAGGGTTTTGCTGCACTGTGACCCCTGGCCCTAGGCAGCCAGGACCGGGGCAATCCTGTGCACACCCAGTATGTTCAGAAGGACCCAGGGTCCCAACCCCCGCCTTCCCATCGGGCTCTAGCATTGTGCCGTGGCTGCTCGCCACCGTTACCACCATGGCTGGGCCCTGGCTTATCTGCTGTTACACACCCACTGAGGGTTAGAAGTTTTAAAAGCGGACTTTGTCATGTTCTCTACCCGAATTTGCAATATTGACTCTCGCCATCTTAAACATAGAGTAGGTCTTTCAAAAGTTTATGGAGAACACAAACTGTGAACAAGCTGCCTGCATTTCAGAATTAGTTTGCACCAAAATAAACTTTGTACTTTAATTTCATTTTCCTGTGAACTTTCTGGCACCTCGTCATACATGCGTGGAAATCCACAGTCCATGCCGATGCCTCCAATCTGGAGCCCCTGGAAGCCCGTTTCTATGACCTGGCTCCTCTTAGTTCGTTGTTTTGTTTTGTTGGTTTACTTCCTTGCATGCCTGTCATTTCTCATTGTGTATGGACCATCATTTTCAAGAAGTTGTTCACTAAAATGATTTGCGGACCAGGATATCATCTTCTTCCAGAAAGGGGTCATTCCT